TGTTACGGATGGGAACCACTCACACCACAGCAGCCAACCACACCGGCACACGTCCAAGCCGCACATGACTTCGTCACCACAATGCAGCAGCTATGGGAGAAGACTCAGCGATGTCACACCACGATGCAGACCTCCCAGAAGCAGTATGCCGATCGCCAGCGACGAGATCACTCAGTAGCAGTCGGAGATCAGGTGCTTCTTGACACACGCAACTTGAACCTGTCTCACCTCCCATCCAAGCTCCGGCCTCGCTCCTGTGGTCCTTTTCTCGTTGAGGCACAGGTGACACCAGTTACATTCCGCTTGCGCTTACCAGATACGTGAAAGCTTCACAATCCTTTCCATGTTCAGCTACTGAAACCCTACAAGGACCCCAACCAACAGTTCCAGAGACGGTAGCTACCGCCACCACCACCTGTTCTCATCCAGGATGAACCAGAGTACGAAGTGGAGCGCGTTCTCACTCATCGGCGCCGCGGCGGCAAGTTCCTCGAGTTCCTGATACGCTGGAAGGGATACGACCCCACTGAGGACAGTTGGGTTGCAGAAGCTGATATGGGCAACGCACGCCGTGCTCTCAATGACTATCTTGTCAAGTAGGGTGTTTCTCACGCCACCCAGCTTTGATGGGGGGACGTGTGAGAGTACGACGGCTTATGCTGGCTTTGCTAGCTTGCCTAGACTTTATTACGCTATATCTAGCTTGGGTTTATTTTATCATGCATAGATATGCTTGATTTCCTAGGTTAGGTGCATTCCTATATTTTATCATAGTTATAGCACTGAACCAGGTTACGTGTACCGAACTCAAGCCTTTTCGGTTTACCACCGAGTTGCTTTCTACTGAGTTCGGGAAGGTTCTGTTCGGTGCGCTTCGCGACCCTCAGAACATTCGCTTAACACCTGGGTAACTTGCCTTGTGTCGAGACTATATATAGCCTCGTGCTGTACCCAGGTGAATCATTCAATAGAATCATCTTTCCTGAACCAGATCCTCACAAGCACAGCAAGCAGTCGCATAAGAAGTTCATAAGCACAAGCAAAGCTAGATGCAGTTACAGAGGGCAAGTGAGGAGGAGGAGGGAGTGTGACAGGAGTGGAGATAGGAGGCGACGGGTGAAGCCGCAGACACACGGGCAACAGGAGTGGCGCGCACGGGCTACCGGACACAAGCAAGAGTATCCGGACTACTGGAGTCACTGGCTCCGCGGCTAAGACGAACGGCTGGAGCAACGGACCCACGGGCGACTGGCGCAGCAGGCTCGCTGGGCTACCGGAGCAAGGGTGACCCCCGGACTACTGGCGCTGCTGACGTCACGACGGCTACCTCCGTTCAACCTCCCCCAACTGTCCCACACCCCTTTCACACACCCCTTGCTGCACCCCTAGCTCCACTCCCAGGACACCCCCCTAGCGCCACTCCCTCGGCTCCCACACACCCACCCCCCTCAGCGGCAGCTGCAGCAGTGGGAGACGGAGGAGGAGCAGCTTTGGACGGCTCACACACCCGCCACCCCAATACCCCCAACGCAGACGGCGCGCGCGCGGCGCGGGGCAGAAACGCGGGCAGCAGCTGGGGCGGCGTGTGAGCAGATGCGGGGCGGCGCGCGGGTCCCTGGGGCGCTGCGACGGGCGACGGGCAGGGCGGCGCGCGGGCCCCCAGGGCGCCGCGACGGGCGACGGGAGGGGGGGCGACGCGCGGGCCCCCAAGGCGTCCCGACGGGCGATGGGTAGGGCGGCGCACGGGCCCCCGGGGCGCCGCGACGGGCGACGGGAGGGGGGCGACGCGTGGGCCCCCGGGACGCCGCGACGGGCGACGGGAGGGGACAGCGCGCGGGCCCCGGGGCGCCGCGACGGGCGACGAAACCGCTCGCGCGCGCCGGGCGCGCGGCAGGCAGAGAACGTCGCACGCCCGGGGCGCGCGACAGGCAGGACAGCAGCGGAAGCAGCAGAGTGGGCCCATCCACAGGATCGACCCGCGAGGGTCGACCTGCTCTGATAGCATGTTGAGATAGCAAGCGGGAATTAACAGCAGAAGAGGGATTGCACTAGCAGCAGATATGGTTTGACATATAGCAAACCCTAAATTGGGTTGTACTCACTGTAGAGTACTCAACTGCAGACTACACAATGAGAAGAAACAAGAGTGGATGAACTGTGAATGAAGTGGATACAAGTACTAACCCTAATTGGGTTGTACCCCCTATGGGATACCCCACTACAGCCTACACAAAAGTATAAGCTATAACGTTCTGACACACCCCCATAGGCAAAGTGGGGGAGAACAAGGGGTCACAAGACCAGTCAAGCAAAGCAAAGCAAGGCAAGCTCAGGGTGGATCACAACGTCACCACACATTCTGAGCACAAGTTCAAGGCCAGAAGGCCAGTTCACATGCAGGAGTACATATATATATAGATAAGGCTAGACAAGCAAGAGCAGGTATATATATATATAACAGTACAAGCAAGGTCAAGGGGTGACCAAGTGAGGCAAGACAGGGACAAGACCCAGCTGAGTGCAGAAGCGCTGATGATCACAAGGCGGAAGAGCCTTGGTGAAGACATCAGCAGTGTTGGCCTCAGAGGCCACGTACGCAAGCCGCAACTGACCACGCTGCTGTAGCTCACGAGCAAGGAAGTAGCGAAGAGCAATGTGCTTAGTTCTGTGCTCCAGTCTCTGCTCTCGACACAAGGCCAGCATGGCCTTGTTGTCTACGTACAGGACTGGAGGAGAACGAGGCGGCTCTCCAAGGTCGGTCAGCAGGTAGGCGAGCCAGCGAAGCTCCTGGGCAGCCATGGCCCCAGCGTAGATCTCAGCCTCACAACTGGAGCCGAGAACAGAAGACGAGCGAGTAGCCCGCCACGAAACAGAGCCGGAACCGAGGCTGAAAGTGTAACCCTGTGACGACCGCTGCGTAGCCTGGTCGTCAGCCCAAGAAGCGTCCGCGTGCCCAGTGAGGACCACTGGACTCCGCCCTCCAAGCACTAGCCCCATGCCCGACGTACTGCACAAGTAGCGCAACACCCTCTTCGCAGCAGCCATGTGCTCTGGTCGGTGTCTCCCAGGAGCAACATAACGTGCAAGAATGCTAAGAGGGTATGCAAGGTCAGGTCGTGTGCAGGTCATCAGGTACATGAGGCAGCCAACAAGCTCTGGATACGGGCCACTCGACTCTACGGACTCATCCGAAGGCAGAGCTGAGAGTGAGTGGCGAGTAGGCAGAGGAGTGGCCTGAGGCGAGGAGTACGTGAAGCCGAAGCGCTGAAGGACCTACTGCACCATGTGTGACTGAGTCAGGGTAATGGTGCAGCGTGCTCTGTCCCCGGGTGATCTGCAAGCCAAGGTAGCTGCGCAGTTCACCCAGGTCTGTGCACGTGTGTCTCTTCTGCAGCTCGGACTTCACGTGGGCGAGTCCAGTAGTGTCAGCTGTGGCAAAGACTAAGTCGTCGACGTACACGATGATGTAGAACGGCGGCAGAGAGGTGTCGGTGCGCAGAAACAGCGACGGGTCGGCAGTAGAAGGAGCAAACCCAAGAGCCGCAAGCGTAGTCCTCAGTGTGTCGTGCCACTCACGTGGCGCCTGGCGGAGACCGTAGACTGGACGCTGGAGACTCCACTGGGTACCAGGAGGGAAAGACCCAGTGAAGCCAGGTGGGCGGCGCAGCCAGATCTCCTCGTGCAGGCTGCCCTGCAAGAAAGCAGTGCTGAAGTCGAGAGAGTGCAGCTCGTAGTTACGGTGAGCAGCAACGTGTAGCAGTACCCGAAGAGTGGTCATCTTCGGGGTGGGGGAGAAGGTCTGAAAGTAGTCAACTCCCTGCCGCTGACTGAAGCCACGAGCCACGTAACGAGCCTTGAAGACAGGCGGAGAACCCGGCGGCCGCTTCACCCTGAAGATCCACATGCCACTGACGATGTTCGCCCCAGGAGGGGGGACAGCGTCAACGTAGGTGCCTGTGGACTTCCAGGAAGCCATCTCTGCATCCATAGCTGCCTGCCACTGAGAGGAGTAGGGACCCTCTATCGCCTCCGCGTAAGAGCGCGGAGTCGGGATGTCAAGTGCATCCGGGTCTCCCTCAGGGGTAAGCAGTACGGACACGAGATGAGGTGAAGCAGCTGCCAGACACTGGAACTCCTCCTGCCTGTCCTCAAGGACGTCCGTGCCGGGACGGGCGGCGACGGGCCAGGCGGCGACGGGCCGGGACAGGCGGCGCACGGGCCACAACGGGCGGCGACGGGCCGGGGGAGGCGGCGCACGGGCCGCGACGGGCGGCGACGGGCCGGGCGGCGACGGGCCGCGACGAGCGGCGACGGGCCGGGACAGGCGGCGCACGGGCCGCGTCGGGCCGCGTCAGGTGGCGACGGGCCGGGACAGGCGGCGCAGGGGCCGCGTCGCACGGGACGGGCGGCTCACGTGGCCGGGGCGGGCGTCAAAAGGGCGGCGGGCGGGCCGCGTAGGGTGGCGACGGGCCGCGAAGGGCGGCGACGGCCGAGCAAGGGCGGCTCGAGGGAGGCCGCGACGGTAGAGAGAGGACCCGAGGCGCGACTCGGGCCTAAGCGGAGCGCGCTTCGGGCAGAAAAAAAAAATTCGATGGTGGACCCTAGGATCAGTTCCCACTAGGGAACCTGCTCGATACCATGAGAAGAAACAAGAGTGGATGAACTGTGAATGAAGTGGGTACAAGTACTAACCCTAATTGGGTTGTACCCCCTATGGGATACCCCACTACAGCCTACACAAAAGTATAAGCTATAACGTTCTGACACACAATTATAGCATTCTGACAATGCGGTGGGATAAGGAAAAGGAGTTTTCCTCACAATATGTAATATATTATGTTTGTATTTCTAAAAATGACAACACCAATATGGAGTACAGGGAGAGACATCAAGTTCAACGGCAAAGTTGTGGAAATCAAAGCAAAGCATATATAAATGAGATTTATGTCAGAGCACAATCCAAAGCCTCCCAAGCACTCCACCCTATCATCTCCCACCCCCTAGTTCCCTTTCCTTCCCTTCTTCCTACTCCTCGGAGGCCCAACACACAACAGGTAACGCATCTGAACCTGCGCCTCACGATACACCACATACTCGTTCCTCTCCACGCACGGCCCTCCGCCCTTTTCTGGCGCAGTAATAAACCTGCACACACGAGCATACTCCTCTGGCCGCGCTGCCTTGCTTGCCTGCATCTCCCTGTGGGAGATGATAGGCCCTGCAGGGATGCAGCAGCCGTCAGGGGTCCAGAGGCACTGGGAGAGGTCGGGAGTGGTTCTCCCGATGGCAAACGTGGAGTGGGACCCTGGCAACGCCTCCTCCATGTATGTTGCCTCTGACACCGCCTGCGATTGCCCCAGCGCCACCTCACACAGCAGCAGGCACCGCGTCTGCTTCATAGCTTGCCCTCTCCCCACCCCCTCCCCATCCTCCTCCCCGTCCTCCTCCTCATCCTCCTCCTCCTCCTCGCGATCACGGCCGCTCCTCCAGTGCCCATGGTGGTGCTGAGCAGCCGTATCGCAGTACCCCAGGGACTTTTTAAACTGGTCCCCGAAGTAGATACCCTTGCCGAAAGCATACCCTGTCACATCGGCCTCGGGAGGAGCCACACGCAGCCCGCCGCTGAGCAGCCCGCAGAAATTAGCCACAGACGACCCGTGGAACAGCAGCTGGCGGTGCGCACGGAACGGCTCTAAGAGCGCGTCAAACCGCTCCCTCTCGCCCTGCCTGCGCACCGCAAACACATCATACACCTCAATCTCCTCCCGCGAAGCCGACCGGTACACATACCGAGCCAGCACGCGCCACAGCTGGCTCTGCGGGTCCAGGCGCCGCATGTCCGTCCCCAACCCCAGGTAGCAGTAGTCTAGCGGGTGGACGGCTGCGCGCCGCCCAGCCGCCGCCTCCGCCAGCTGGCGACGCGCGCCGATGAGCATCTTGAGCGCGAGCTGGAGCTCCCCCAGGCTGGAGAGCAGCGCCTGCAGTGAGAGCAGGTCCTGGCGGGATTGGATGGACTGGATGCGGCTGCGCGTGTGCTGCGAGGACGGCACGAGCTGGTAGAACTCGTTGCTGCGCTGCACCAGTTGCTCGCTGATGCCCCGCCGCTCCGCCTGTGCTGCCCTTATCTCCTCCGCGATACGCTCCCGGGTTACCTTCCTGCTGCTGCTGCTGCCGCTGCCACCATCACCACCCTCCGTGTTGACCGCTGCCACGAGGGTGGTCTGATTCCCGCCCCCCTCTCCCCCACCTCCCTCCCCGTCACCTCCCTCGCCTCCCTCCAACTGCATCTGCACGTCCCCCCCTTCCTTCTCCCCACCCACTCCCTGCCCCTGGCCATCCTCGCCCTCCTCCACGCGGCGCCTCTTCGCACGCTTCTTCCCTGCACCATCCAACGAGCCATCCTCAGAACCCTCCTCAACTCCATCCTCCACGGCCTCATGCTCCTCTTCCCCCTTCCCCCCTTCCACTCCCTCCTCCCCATCCTCCTCGTGCTCCTCAAACATCAACCGCTGCTGCTCCGCAACCAGCCCATCAATCTTCTTCCCCACGGCCTCATACGTGGGCACCAGCGCACTCATCTGCTCCAGCACCGCACGCCCACGCTCCAGCGCCTCATCTGTCACGTCTCCGAACGCCAGGCACGTGTCCACTGCGCCCAGGCGCCGGGCTTGCGCTCGCAGCGCTGACACGTCGCAGATGACTCGTATGAAAGACTGGATGGCCTTGGGGAGGCGGCTGGGCCCTGCCACAGCGGATGCTTCAGCGAGGGTGGCAGTAGCAGCGGGAGCAGGAGTAGCGCCGGCAGAATGCGTGGAGTTATCGCCAGTAGCAGCAGCGGCGGCGGCGACAGCAGGAGCCGTACTGCCAGGCACTGCAGTATCAGCAGCAGGAAGAGAAACAAGAGCAGGTGCAGCAGCAGCAGCAGCAGCAACACCTTCGCCTCGCACTCCCTCTCCTCCTCCTCCTCCTCCTCCTTTCCTCCTTAAACCACCATGCATGTCTATCAGCTGTGCCAGAGGCAGCACCAGCTCCACCTCCTCATCCACATGCCCCTTGGGGATCTTCCTCCTCTCACTCCCCCCTTCCCCTTCTCCCTTACCATCGCCCTTCCCTGACTTCTTCTTGCTTTTTGGACGTGCCCGCACGGGAGTGTATTTCCCCACCTTGGGATGGAACTCTCCACGATTCTGCCAGTCGTTCCCTGACTTAGCCTTGAAGATCTTCTCAAACTCCTTCACCGCCTCCTCACGGGACCCCATGGGCGTCTGCTGGTGCTCCCCCTCGTCGCCCACACGCCCCCAGCGGTTGAAGAGGATGTAAAGGTCCTGTGCGGTGCTGTGCAGTACCTGCATCTTGTAGAAGTTGTGGAATCCATACCGCCCGTACTCCACATCGGTTCGCGTCATGAGCACCGAGTAATCTCCACCTCCTCCACCGCCGCCGCTGCTGCCACCGCCACCACTGCCGTCATCGGCTGGAGTACGCTTCACTTCCCGCAGCACGACACACGTGGCACGGAGGTCCCCTGCATGCTCGTCCACCTCCGCGCCACACGCCTGCGCTGCTGCCTCCATCTTGGCGTCCCACTCTTCCCGCATCACTCTCGCATCTGCTGCCACGTCCACCACTCGCCCCTCACGCACTCCCGCACTGCCCTCTGTCAGCCACTTCTCTGCTGCCTCTAACTTTTTCTGCGCATCCTCCCGTCCTGCTGCTATCTCTGTTTCAAATATCTCTGGCAGCACAGCGCCGCCATGAGTCATCGTCACAGCACCTGTGGCACCTGATGAAGGAGCAGCTGCTGTATCCCCTGCCGCATCGCCTCCTCCCGTCATCTCCGTGATAGCGTCCAGCATCACTCCTGAGGACTGAGCCCCCGCATCATACAGCACCGTGTGCCCCGCACCATCCCTCATTTCCCACCGGAACGCCACGGGTCTCGCCGCCTGACCAGCCGCATCCCCAGCCCGCTCACCCCTCTGCAGCAGCACCAGCCTGTGCAGCACCTTCAGCAGGTGAGTGTTCTCATACGACGGCTCTAACGGGCCAAATGTAGCCACTGCTGCGTGGTATGCCGACCGCGCAAGGGGGACCGGCGCCAGGTTCAGATCCACGCCTACGCGGCGGATCTCCATGCCAGGTGGCACCGTCATCTTGCTCAGCGCTGCGTTGGCAGCCTCCTCCTCTCGAGACAGCACGGGGGGGGTCCAATCCCCCCCCATGAGCACGGTAATCATGCGCAGGTCGTTGCTCCTCACCGCATGCGTGAGCGCGGTTGCTCCAGTGGCGTCCCACTGGTTCGGGTTGGCTCCGAAGCGCAGCAGCAGCTCCGTCAGCCGGTGATCTTTCCGCCGCACGGCCGTCATTATGGCCGGTAGAGTGCACACCTTGCGCAGCGCCTGGGCCTCCTGTAGCACCTCCGCGCGCAGCGCCGCCCGCACCGTCTGCTGCACCACTCCGCCGCCGCCGCCGCTGCTGCCAGCCATGTCCGAAACGTCAGAGCCGCTGTCAGTGGCAAGGGCGGTCAGGTCAAGAGGCAGCTTGGCCTGGCGCCCCACGTTGGGATCCGCCCCCGCGCACAGCAGCCTGTACACATCTGGTAGCAGCACGTCGCCACTACCACCACCAGCAGCAGCACCACCACCACCAGCACCATTCCCCCCTCCCTTCCTGTGCAGCACCGCACAGCCCAGCACGCGGTGCAGGGGAACAGAGCCCACGGCGTCGCATGCATTGACAAGAGCAGGGTCGCCCCGCGGCAGCAGCCACTGGACGAGCGGCGTGATGGCGCCCGCACACGCGAGGTGCAGCGGGGTCTGCCCAAGCACGTCCCTCGTGTTCAGCAGCGCGCCGATCGGGTTCTCCCCTGCCGGCCCCGTCACTCCCGGTCCCGACAGCGCAGCCTCAATGACTTGCAGAATGGTGAGCAGCCAGTTCTGGCAGAAGGAGGACTGGTGGTGCACGCGTGCCAGCTGGTGGAACACCGTCCTGCCAGACACCGGCTGCAGCGCTTGCAGCGCGGCTGGGGGCGCGCGGCGCAGGAGGGTGAGGAGCAGGGAGAAGTGGCCGCTGGCGAGGCAGTCGTGGGTGGCGGTGAGGAGGTCGACGCCGCGGTCGAGCATGAGATAGGCGAGCCCGTTCCACCCCTGGTCTAGCACCACACGGAAGGTTGATGTCTTGCACGCGTCCTTGCCTCGTGCTATCTGCACACGCGCTGCTTCTAGCTGCTGCTGCTCGGAGCCTGCCCCAGTCTTCTTCACCTCCTCCGCCTCTCCCTCTGTCTTGGCATCTGCCATGGTTGCATCTTCCTCCCCGGCCCTGCCTGCTCCCTCTCCCCCGTCCTTGCTCTCCTGCCCGTCCCCACTCCCACCCTCCTCCCACTCCTCCCACACCTCCGCCGCCATACGCACACCCCCCGCCATTCCCTCCTCTTGCCCATCCACCTCCTCCTCTTCCCCGTCACTCCACCCGTCCGCCCCTTCCCCCGCACCACCCACCCCGGCAGCCATCCTCCTCTCCTGCCGCTCCACCCGTGCAACCCTTTTGAGCAGCTTACCGGGAAACTTACGATAGTTGGTGGCAGGAAGGTGAATATCCACCCCCGCATGGTCCAACAGATTGATACACACGGGTAGCTGAGCCGCAAGCAGCGCCAGCTGGAACACCCCGTTGTCGTCCTCGTCCGTGCGTGCGAGTGTGGCCCCGCGCCGCACGAGGAAATTGGTGCAGATCTGAGCGCCCGCCTCACATGCGTACATCAGCGGGGTGCGTCCGAACCGGTCCGCTGCGTCAATGACCCCCGCCACTCCTACTCCGCCACCTCCACTTGCTAACCCTGCTGTCGAGTCGGTTGCAAGGGCAGCAGCGTCGGCGGCAGCGACGGCGGCAGTGACAGCGGCACAGAGCATGCTGAGCAGCTCAATCGGCTCCTCCCCTGCCGCAGCAGCCCGATGAGACCCACCTCCCGCTGCCGCCACGTGCCGCTCTCCCAGCCGCACAAACACGAGATGCACCACGTTGCGCCCGTCCTCGTCCCGCGCTGCCACGTCAGCGCCGGCGTCCAGGAGCTCCTTTTCCACCTCAAAGGCCTCGCTGAGGATGCCCGCCCTGCCCGCCGTGAGAGCCGACGCCTGCACCGCAAACATGAGTGGTGTGCGCTTCCTGTCGTCGCATTTGCGCACCTGCTGCTGCTGCTGCTGCTGCTGCTGCTGCTGCTGCTGCTGCTGCTGCTGCTGCTGCTGCTGCTGCTGCTCCGGTTGCTGCTGTGGCCCGTTTGCAGCCAGCAGTGCGCGCACCACTTTCACATCCACCTGCCGACCACCACCACCACCCCCTTGCTGCAGATAACACGCGAGGGCAGTGGAGCCTTTTGCAGTGCAGCGCAGAGGATCCACCCCGCCCTGCTGCAGCAGCCACGACAGCAGCCACAGAGCGTTTCCACCGGCACGAGCAGTGAGGTGCAGAGCGGTGAAGCCAAGGTTGGGCTGGGCTCTGGCTGAGATGATGGGGATGACTGCTGGGTCCACGTTTCCCCAGGTTCGCAGGCGCGGGGCCGTCTTGCTTGCATTGATGTCCTGCTGACACACTTGCAGGAAGCGAGCGAGGAAGCGCAGGAAGGACTCTTGTGTCAGTTGATACTGCTTGGCTGGATTCTTTTTTGAGGGGTCCTGGGAGGAAGATGAAGAAGCAGGAGAAGGGGAAGGAGAAGGGGAAGGAGACTTGGAGGGAGCACTGAAAGGTGAAGAAGAGGAAGGAGAGGAGGAGGAATCGCCGCTCCTTTCACCATCGCTTCCCCCTCCGTCCTCATCTTCCTCTTCCCCTTCTCCTGCCTCCTCCTCTCCCACTCCTCTCTCCGCTTCCTTGCCCTCCTCTACCACCCCTCCCCCAACGAGCCCATCGGTGCGAGCAGCCGCGTCTGTGGCAGGGAGGAGGTTGAGCTGCAGGGCTCTCGCGATGATGGACAGGAACGCCACATCCCCCTCCTGGTTCGCCTTGCACGCCAGCTCTGCCAGCAACGGCCGCCGCTGCTGCACCTCCCCGCCTTGCTGCTGCAGCGGCTGCTGCCCGCTCTTCTGCTTCTGCTCGCCAGCAGCAGCCAGCAGCTCCAGCAGCGGCAGGGGTTCACGAGCGCCCATCACCACGGCCAGCACGTGCAGAGCAGACCCGTCTTCCTCGCACCCCGCATCCACGGGCGCCCCCGCCGCCAGCAGCCGGCGAATGCAGCGGTCACGCACAGCAGCAGGCAGGCTGGTGGCACTCGCATTAGCCATGAGAAGCGAGACTAGCGATCTCTGCACCTCCACGCTCTCCCCCGCCACCCGCAGCACCACGTGCCCCTGCACTTTCCCCACGCCCTCCTCCTGCTCAGCCTTGCTCAGCGCCTTGTCGCGCAGAGCTTCCTTCACGTCACTGCTCCTCACAATGTACCTCACAGCTCTGCGCACGCGGGCCACAGCGTGCGCGTGCACGTCGGCCCCCGCCTGCAGCAGCGCTTCCACGCACTCCACGAAATCCCTCTGCGCTGCACCCTGAGAGGACGGCCTCGCTTTGTTCTGAGGCGCATCTGGAACCGCCGCAAGCGCACCCTCAGGGGGGTCCCTCACCTGCGCCTGCTCCTGCTCCTGCTCCATGCCACTGCCTGCACCGCCACCGGCACCTTCTCCCTCACCCTCCCCCGCACCACCCTCCCCCGCACCACCCTCCCCCGCACCACCCTCCCCCGCACCACCCTCCCCCACAGCCGCTCCCCCAGGCGCGGCTTCCCCCTGCGCGGCACGGCGGAAGGGGTTGGAGGCTTTGAGCTCGGGGTACTCGCTGTCCCTTGTTCTGCGCGCCTGCTTCATGTAGCGCTCCGCCGCGCTGTGGGGGTTCTGCAGGGTGCGTGTCACAGCGGCGGCGAGAGGCGTGACGCCTGCCTTGTTGCGCAGGTTGAGCGCGAGATGCGCCCGCACGTCTGGCTGGAGCAGCAGCCGCAGGAGGGATGCCGGCTCGCATGCGCGTAGCGCCAGGTGCAACGCCGAGTCGCCTTCCTCCTTGGTCTGCGCGTTCACCCACCCCCAGTCGAATCCCCCCTCCCCGTCTTCCACCAACCCTGCCGCCGCGGCCGCTTCTTCCGTCACCGACCGATCCACCGCAGCGCGCAGCAGCAGGGTCACGGCGGCCCGCTGCCGGCGACAGAACGCCCCCCAGCGGCGGTAATACTCGTCTAGGGTGCGCTGCACCTCTTTGTCTACCTGCTCCACTGGCTTCCGCCCCCACCACCCGCGGTACCCGTTAGCGAGATTGTTCTCAACCAACTGGGGCGCCTCGCAGCGCAGAGCCGCCAGCAGCGGCGTGACCCCGTGGCGGTCGCGGTGGGTGAGGGCGGCGCGGCAGGTGGGGCTGCGGAGGAGCGCGCGCAGCACGCGCACGTTGAGCTGCTCCGCTGCCAGCTGCAGCGCCGTGCGCCCCTCGCCATCCTCCGCATCCACGTCTGCGCCACGCGCAGAGAGAATGGCTCCAGTGATGCGCGCGTCGAGGCGGGAAATGGGGCGGAGCGATGCAAAGAGGTGCAGAGCGGTTTGGCCGTCGCGGGCGTCTTTGGTGGCGGCGGAGATGGCGTGGGAGACAAGAAAGGAGACCTGGGAGAGGCACAGGGTGGGGTCAGCCTGCTTGAGGGTCACAGCGTGGTGTAAGAGAGACTTGCCATCGCTGTCCACCGCATTCACTGCACCACTCAGCGCCACTGAAGCAGCAGCGGAGGAGGGGGAGGAGGAGGGAACCACTTGGCTCGCTTCCTCACCCCCCTTCTCTCCCTCCCCCCCTTCACCTCCCTCTGTATCCATGTGCCCGTCAGCAGCATCAGCCGGCAGCAGCAGCGGCACAGCCGCAGCAGGCGGAAGCGCAGCGGGAAGCGCTGCTGCAGGCTGCTGCTGCGGCGGCGGTGCAGCAGCAGCAGCAGCAGCAGCAGCAGCAGCAGCAGCAGCAGCAGCAGCGGCAGCAGCGGCAGCGGCAGCAGGGGAGGAGAGGAGGGCGGTGGCGATGCCCATGTGGCCCTTGAGCACGGCCAGAAACAGCCCCGACAGCTTCCACATGTTGAGCCGATCACGGTCCGCACCCGCTGCTAGTAGGAGTTCTAACGCGCCCTTGCACCCGTACGCACACGCGTAGTGCAGCGCCGTGTTGCTGCTCGAGTCCGCGCTGTCCGCGGGGACTCCGCGGCGCAGGAGAGCGCGGAGAACGGAAAACTGCGAGTTGCGTGCCGCGACGACCAGCGCGTTGCGCCCGAGCTTGTCCGGCGCCAGCAGCAGCTTCACCACGCGCGCCTCCCCATCGCTCCCCGCCGCCACGAGCGATAGAACCCTCTCCACAGCCCCCTCCAGTCCCAGCGCAGAGAGAATGTGCAGCGTGGTGAGCTTCTTGTCCTTGGAGGGTACAAGCGGGTCTCCCCCCCCACGGATGAGAAGCTCTATGATGTCTGCGGCCACGGTGGGTGGCATGTACAGGCACTCCCATGCTGTCACATGCAGGAGAGTCTGCGGCGTGCGCTTGTCCAGGGGAGTGTTGAGCACTAGGTCTGCTATACTCACGGGAGCTCCAGCCTTGCCTCTCCTTGCTTTTCCCCCTCTTGCCTCCTCCCCGTCTTCTTCCTCCTCGTCCGCCGCAGCAGCACCGCCGCCACCGCCGCTGCTGCCTCCCGCAGCAGCCGGCTTGGGCAGCAGCAGGCGGGCGGTGTGCGGGCGCCCAAACGCCAGCGCGCGGCGCAGAGGCGTGTGGCCCTGGCGGTCCTTCTCGTCCGCGCTCACCCCCTGGCTCACCAGCCACTCGAGACACGCCGCGCTCCCCGCCGCCACCGCCGCGAAGTGGATGGGTTTCCGCCCCTTGCCGTCCGTCACATGCAGCGCCAGCGGCCCCGCGCGCGCCACCAGCTGCTTCAACACGCGCGCGTCCGGCTGTAGCGCCGCCAGGTGCACAGGAGTCACCTGCTGGTTGCCCCACCCCGCGTGTTTCAGCACCGAAATCCCCCGCACGTCCGCGCCCAGCTTCCCATCCGCGGGTCCCACGGCGAACTCATGCACTGCGTTGAAACCGTAGCTCGAGTCCCCGCTGCCGTCCGCGCCGCGGCACAGCTTCAGCAGGTGCGCCGCGGCGGGGAGATTCCCCGCCTCCGCGGCCTCGTAGACCAGCCCGCTCCCCGCGAGCTCCAGGCAGATCGCGAGGCGTGACGGCACGGGGTGCGCGGGGTCGCGCGGCTTGAGATACCCGGGCGCGGAGGGGTCGGGGGTAGCCGCCATCATCTGCAGCGCGGCGACGGACGAGCGCTGCGCGGCGAATGAGAAGTAGTCGCGGAAGGAGTCGGAGCGCGGGAGCGGGTCGCTAAGAAACGCGTTGTTGCCCTCCTTGCCGCCGCGGCTGGCCTCGAGCTGGCGCGTGGCGGAACCCAGCATGTAGAACGACTTGGTGCCCGTGCCGATGCTCGCCAGGGAGCTCAACGGGAGTCGCGCCCGGGCAGTTACCACGCGGCTCTCCTCCGGTTTCTCTGCCTTCTCTGCTGCGCTTGGCTTGTCCTTCGCTGCCTTGCGCTTCTCGCCAGCCTTCGCCTTCGCTTCTCCCTTGCCGTCCTCCTTCCCTTTCCCCTTCCTCCCCCTGCCGTGCTTCTTGCGCCTCGTGCCCACCTGTGCCTCTTCCTCCTCCTCTTCTTCTGCTTCCTCCTCCTCCTCCATCTCCGTGCCACCTCCCTCTTCCCCAGCCTCCTCCGTCCCCTCACCCTCCTCCCCCCCCTCCTCCCTTTCCTCATCATCCTCATCATCAATCACTACCGCGTCCTCCCCCTCTTCCCCCGCGCCTCCCCCGCCCGATTGCCCCAGCAGCCCGTTCGCCTCCTGCCTGTCGCGGTCCAGAAGAAGCATGCGCGCCAGCCGCACCTCCCCCGCCAGCAGCGCCGCGCGCAGCGGGTCCACGTGGCACTCCGCGGACCACTCCAGGTGCGGGTCCGCCACTTTCGCGCGCGCGGAGCGCGCCAGCACGGCGGCCAGCAGCGCCGCGCTGCGCGTGCGCACCGCGCGAAACGCCTCGCGGCTCGCGCAGCGCGTGCAGCAGGAGGAATCGACGGAGGCAGGGCGCACATGCGCCATGGGATCATGCATCGCGTTCAATGCGCGGAGATGCGCCGGAGACACATCCACGAGTTTCATCTTCCCTCGCCCGAGAAACTTCTTCTCCGCTTTTGCCGCCTTCGCTGCCTTTACAACTTTCAGCGCTCGCCCTGCCTTTACCTTCACTCCCCCCCTGACCCTCACCAGCGCGCCAGCACCCCCCCCCGCTCGACCACGCGCTCGCTTCCTTCCCTTGCCCGGCTTCTCGCCCTCCGCTTCCTCCTCCGCGTCTTCCCCTTCCTCTACTTCCTCGTCCTCCTCCCCCTCCTTGTCGTCGTCCTCCTCCTCGTCCGACGAGTCCCCGGATCTACCAGCTCTGCGCGCGGCGGGCGAGCGCCACTCCGCCACTTGGTAGAAGGCGGGAGACTTGTGCGCGCGCAGGCTCCTCCGCCGCCCACCACTTTCGCCCACCGCTGTGACCACTTCCGCCACTTCTGCCACTTCCGCGACCTCCGCCACTTCCGCCTCTTCCGCCACTTCCGCCACCTCCTCCACCTCCTCCTCGGTTTCCTCCGCCAGGGCATCGCGCCTCGCTCGCTTGCGAGGCTCCGATTTTGGCGCCGTCTTCGCCGCCGCAGGCGTGGCGGCTTTGCGCGTCGCCCGAGCCTTCCCTGCGGATGCGACAGCAGAGCTCGATGTGCGCGCGCCATTGGTCTGAGCGGCCTGCCGGCGATCCGCGGACCTTCTGGTGGGGGTCGCCTTGGCCGGGGTCGTCTTGGCCGGGGTCTCTTTTCCCGGGGTCGACCTGCCAGGAGTCGACTTGCCTGGGGTAGCTTTGGTCGGAACCTTCTTCGCGGGAGTCCTGGGTGTCTTGGCGGGAGTCTTCCCCGCCCCCGCCCTCGTCCTTCCCGCGCTGCGCGCTGCTAACGCCGTCGCGGCTTTCCGCAGACCGGAGCGACTCGCCGCGGAGGCTTTCAGGGGGACGGTGCGGCGCACCGCCCTGAGCTTGCTTGCTGCTGCCGCAGATGCCGCAGCGCGCCTTTGGAGCGACGGACGCGGCCTCGCCATGCTTGCGGCGGCACCGCCCAGTATTCTTCTCTCGGCCTCGAGTCTTCTTTTCTCTGCACCGCCGGCTGCGCTGGCTGCGTGGACAGTGGCGGTGTGGGGATTCGCAGACAGCGACGACGGCGGCTGCAACGCGCCGCTTCCTTAGACCACTGGGCAAAACGGGTGTTAACAAGCGGTGGCGGGTTGACGGGCCGCAAGTGGTGGCGGCTGCAGCGGCGACGGCGTGCTATGTGGGGTGTTGGATGGGCCGCGCAAAGGAACACGGGCAGGAGAATGCGGACAGGAGAATGCTGTCTCGAGCCGCGAAACAGGATGGCGAGTGAGTGAGTGGCTGGGAGATGAAGCGAAGCGCAAGGGGGCGAGGAATGAGTGGGAGGGCACAGCGAAGTGTGAGAGAGGGGAGGCTATGAGGCCGCGACGAGAGGCCGCCGGACAGGTGAGGAGCAAGGGAAGGTGGGCGGCGGGTTTGGCGGGCGAGAGTCCACCCAGTCAAAGGTCCCTCCAGGCTAGAAAAGGAGCCTGGAGGGTGGGAGTAGGAGACGGGAGGGGACTAAATGTTATCATAGGCTGAAGTAGCTGATGGTGGACATGGCTGGCAAGGCTGATCTGAAAATGTGAAATTGCTTTGACATTGAAGATTGGAAGGCAGAAGTAAAAGAAATTGTTGCCATTGCATTCCATGCATCCCCGTCTTGCCCAGCGACCCGAATTCACGTCAGGGCCCAAAAGTTCCCTGTTACGCTGAGACCGCACAGAAACGCTATGTAGAGCTTATCAACCTCGCTAAACCCTTTTCAAAAGACGTGAAGACTTCCCTTTTAAGATGCGTCAACAAAACGTCGAAATTGGGGACGCGGGAAAAAAAAAAATGGAGAAGAGTCAACAACACGGTTCACTGCGGTGAAGGGATGAAACCGAACTCTACCGAGAGGAAACCTTCGAAATCTCGAATTGAGCACTGCATCCGTACTGTACCAGGTCGGAGGAGGGAACCCCACCCCGCCTTTCATCAGGTGTTGGCTTCACCGGGCAACCTGTGGGAATGAATCGAAAGAAGCAGGAACGGAAAAATCACGCGACTTGACGGTTTTCGGATTTGTGTTGATCCTGTCGACCACTCGTGCACCACGTCAGCACTATTTTGAATTCCGAAAATTCGATCGACCCTACAACACATTTTGCAGTATAGTTCAAATATTAGCGGTTGGGAGTGGGTGTGTCACTACAGGTACGTAACTTTCTCGAGAATAGTGTGGCTAGTGCTCTTTAACTTCCCGCATGATATGATTTTGTCGTGGTGTATGTCTGCACAGTAAATACGCCGGTGTCGTGAAGGTAGTGGTTTAGATATTGCAATTTGGTCCTTCTCGCAGTCAATCTCACCTCTGTTTCTGCTCGTCGCCTTGTTCAAATGCACTGATACAGAACGGCATGCCTAATCCCTATCGCGGAAAGAATCTGTCAAAGAGCCTGTGTGAAGAAACTCGATCAGAAGTAGTCGATCCTTAGGAAGGAAGGATCGAAACCACTGTGAACGGTTCATGCATGCGTCCTAAACCGTGGTGAATGCTCGTAAAGTGTTGTTGCTGTGTTATTCGTGGTTGATCTGACAACCGTGAATAGCGCGGGAAAAATGCTCACAACCCCATCAGAGGGCAACTTGTCCTGAAACGTTCTAGTTGCTAAGGCCAACAGATGTGCGTAATCATTGTAGGCATATCGCACCAACCAACGTCTTCCTGCGCCGTCGCCGCCCTTCTCGGCCCCTCACAGCCTCTTCGCGGCCCCGTCGCTGCTCCTCTCACGGCCCCTCGCGCCACCCTTAGCGGCCCCGTCGCCACACTTCGCGGCCCTGTCGCCGCCCCTATCGGCCCTGTCGCCACTCCTAGCGGCCCCGTCGCCGCCCCTAGCGGCCCCGTCGCCGCCCTTCTCGGCCCCTCGCGGCCCCTTCGCGGCCCTGTCGCCGCCCCTTCTCGGCCCCGTCGCCGCCCTTAGCGGCCCCGTTGCCGCCCCTAGCGGCCCCGTCGCCGCCCTTCTCGGCCCAGTCGCCGCCCCTCGCGGCTCCGTTGCCGCCCCTAGTGGACCCGTCACCTGCTCGTCGCGCCCCCCCCCCCCCCCCCCCCCCTGGCCGCCGCCTCTGCCTCCCCTGTGCCCGCGCTTGCTTTGCAACAGCGCGCGGGCCTGCCTTGCAACTGCAGCCGCCCCTGGAGCAGCCGCCACTGCAGCAGCCGTCCCTGGAGCAGCCGCCACTACAGCAGCCGCCCCTGGAGCAGCCGCCACTGCAGCAGCCGCTCCTGGAGCAGCCGCCCCTGGACCAGCCGCCCCTGGAGCAGCCGCCCCTAGAGCAGCCGCCCCTGCAGCAGCCGCCCCAGGCCTCTAGAGCAGCCGCCACTGCAGCAGCCGCCCCTGGCCCCTGGAGCAGCCGCACCTGCAGCCGCCCCTGGCCCCTGGAGCAGCCGCCCCTGCAGCAGCCGCCCCTGGCCACTGGAGCAGCCGCCACTGCAGGAACCGCCCCTGGCCCCTGGAGCAGCCACCCCTGGAGTAGCCGCCCCTGGAGCAGCCGCCACTGCAGCAGCCGCTCCTGGACCCGGTACAGCCGTGGGGGGGTGGGTATGGGGGTGGCGGGTGTGGGGGTGATGGGTATGGGGGTGGCGGGTGTGGGGGTGATGAGTGTGGGACAGGTGGGGGAGGTTGAGTGGAGGTGGCCGCCGTGAAGCCAGCAGCTCCAGTCGCCCGTGAGACCGTTGCGCCAGTCGCCCGTGAGCCCGTAGCTCCAGTCGCCAGTGAGCCCGTTGCTCCAGTAGCCCGTGGGTCAGTTGCTCCTGCCGCTCGTCTAGCCGCGGAGCCAGTTACTCCAGTTGCCCGTGTGCCAGTTGCTCCAGTTGCCAGTGTGCCTGTTTCTCTAGTTGCCCGTGTGCCAGTTGCTCCAGTTGCGCCGTGTGTCTGCAGCTTCCGCCGTCGCCTCCCATCTCCTCTCCTGTCACAATCCCTCCTCCTCCTCACTTCCCCTCTCCTTCTCCTGCGCTTGGTGTACCCCTTCAGGGGGCGTTGACTGCACATTCTTCCCTACAGGCACTTATGGGGGCGTGTCAGACTAATATATAATTCTATATATTGTTCTATAACTGCCTGTAGTGTAGAATACTGTAGTCATATAACTTTCTAGTTGGTGGTGCACCTTGCATGCTCTGTTTGCTATATGTACTCTTGTGCTATAGTGAACATCATTCCCCTCTCAACTTTCTCGACACTTCTCCTTACCCTCGAACTCGATCACTAAGCTACTAAACCTAAGCCTACTCATGCTTAGTATCTTAACATTCGAGCACTTGGCGGATCGATGCAAGTATCGATCTCGCCCTCGTCAGACCAATCCGAGCAACTGGTCCGGCCGACAAGACACGAGGAGTGACACGCGTCCCGCCCAGGGGTATCAACCCACTTCGCGCAACCTGAACACGACAGTTCAGCAGCAGCAGCAGCCACCGCAAACTGCACCCGTCCGCAATGTGATGGGGAACATGACCATGACGAGCGAATCTCATCGCCCGCGCGCGCGCTCACTGTCACCTGAGCCGGCGCCTGACCCAATCGGAGCGTTCTTGAACAACAATCCGTTTAGCACGCGTCACGATTACAGCGATGATGACAACCAGGACTGGAATCTACCAGTCCCGCTGCTTGAGAGCCCCCCGCACGTACCTGACATGCGGTCGGCACCGATCGATTGGATTGCGCGCGAACAGTTTTTGAAAGTCGACACTCCACACATCCTCACTCCGCGACTGGCGCTGCTCACGCGAAACGACAACAGGCGCTACAACAGGTGGTACCTGGACATCTGTTGTGGACAGCACATGGTGGGCTCTGAGCGTTACATATCCAACGCCGTCGCCACCCCCGCCGTCACTTACGTCACTGTGGCGAACAATACTCGGCTGCGCGCAAGGCATTGTTGTGCTCAAAGCACATGGGAGCAGAAAGCACATCACCTTGAATGACGTGTTGATTGTGCAGAACCTGCGCTTCAACCTGCTCTCGGCGGCGCAACTCCTGGATTGCAGAGTCATCCTCAGCACCGACCCCGAGACGCGCGACATTCTGCTTCACTTCACAATGCCAAACAAGAAGCGCAAGCAGATCGGACGGGCACACGCCGAGAACGGAGTATACGTTCTCGACTTCGACATCCCCGACTGCAGCGGCGATTCGCAGGAGCTGATTGACCTTGTCTCCCTGCGCTTTGTGTCAAACATTATATGTTCATATTGTGTAGGCTATAGTGGGTTTAGCCTTAGGGGGTACAGCTTTGTTAGGGTTTCCTACTTGTATCCCCCTCCTACCTAGTTTCATTCATTCTCGTTCTATTCTGGATTCTAACATGGTATCACGAGCCTAGGTTGCTACCTAGGACCGCTTTCTACTATGGGCCCACTATTCCGCTAGAAGCGCCCTCGTGCGCCCTACCTTACGTGCGCCCTCGTGCGCCTTTCTCTGCTAGTGCGCCTTCGTGCGCCCTCGTGCGCCCTCGTACGCCTTTCTCTGCTAGTGCGCCTTCGTGCGCCTTCGTGCGCCCTCGTGCGCCCTCGTGCGCCTTCGTGCGCCCTCGTGCGCCCTCGTGCGCCCTCGTGCGCCCTCGTGCGCCCTCGTGCGCCCTCGAGCGCCCTCGTGCGCCCTCGAGCCGCCCCTGCAGGTCCGTCAGGCCCCCGAGCCGCCTCTGCAGACCCGTCAGGCCCCCCCCGAGCCGCCTCTGCAGGCCCGTCAGGCCCGAGAGCCACCCCTGCAGACTCGTCAGGCCCGCGCGCAGCCTCTGCCCGACCGCGCGCCGCCTCTGCAGGCTCTCGCCGCCCGCCGCGTCGCCCTGCCCGCGGCGTCGCCGCCTGCCCGCGGCGTCGTCACCTGCCCGCGACGTAGCCCCTGCCCGCGGCGTCGTCGCCTGCCCACGGCGTCGTCGCCTGCCCGCGGCGTCGTCGCCTGCCTGCGGCGTCGTCGCCTGCCCGCGACGTAGCCCCTGCCCGCGACGTCGTCGCCTGCCCGCGGCGTCGTCGCCTGCCCGCGGCGTCGTCGCCT